TCAGCAAGGAAAGCTACCTTATTGAGGTCAGAACATGTAGGGATAAAGTGAGAAAGGCCAAAAGCCATGTAGAGTTGGACTTTGCAAAGGGAATTAAAACCAATAGTAAAAGGTTCTATAGCCATATAAATAAGAAGAAAACAAAGAAAAAAGAAGTGAGACTGCTAAACACTGAAGATGGAGTGGAGGTTAAGGATAAACTAGGCATGGCCCAATATCTAAACAAATACTTTGCCTCAGTCTTTAATGAGGCTAATGAGGAGCTTAGGGATAATGGCAGGATGACAAATGGGAATGAGGATATGGAGGTAGATATTACCACATCCGTGGTAAAAGCCAAACTCGAAAAGCTTAATGGGACTAAATTGGGGGGCCCAGATAATCTTCATCCAAGAATATTAAAGGAACTGGCACATGAAATTGCAAGCCCATTAGCAAGCATTTTTAATGAATCTGTAAGCTCAGGGGTTGTACTGTATGACTGGAGACTTGCTAACATAGTTCCTATTTTTAAGAAAGGGGAAAAAAAGTGATCCGGGTAACTACAGACCTGTTAGTTTGACATCTGTAGCATGCAAGGTCTTAGAAAATTTTTTGAAGGAGAAAGTAGTTAAGAACATTGAGGTCAGTGGTAAATGGAACAAAATACAACATGGCTTTACAAAAGGTAGATTGTGTCAAACTAACCTGATCTCCTTCTTTGAGAAGGTAACAGATTTTTTAAACAAAGGAAACGCAGTGGATCTAATTTACCTCGATTTCAGTAAGGCATTTGATATGGTTCCACGTGGGGAATTATTAGTTAAATTGGAAAAGATGGGGATCAGTATGAAAATTGAAAGGTGGATAAGGAACTGGTTAAAGGGGAGACTACAACGGGTCATACTGAAAGGTGAACTGTCAGGCTGGAGGGAGGTTACTAGTGGCAGTGCTGGGAAGTCCCGAGTGTAGCCAAGGCCTATGAGTCTAATTTAAATTCCTATTCAAAAAAGGATTTGCTCTTGGTGCACAGTGCCACAGTTCTATACCTAGCATAATTGGGGATCATCAAATTGTGTAATGTCTTTCTGCTATGTTACTAACACTAAATTTAATGGAAGGAAGAATACAAGGACGAACAATGCTTAAATGATGAGCAGCCAGTAGAATCCGGGATTTAGTTCTAGAGAGTGATTCCTGAGACATCCTTGGAAGACTCTGCCTTGCCTGAATCCTTTTGTTCCCACCTGTTGGAGTTCAGTTTCACGTGCCTCTGTATTGGTGCTGAAGAGAACCTGAATGCTTTATCCCATCACTAAAAGCCAAACATGAGATGCTTTGCAAAGAGAATAAAAATGACTAGTAGGTCCAGACTGATTTAATAAATGTCTGCATAGAGTTGTCCACTTTCCATACTGTGACTTCACATGTCAGGCATTCACAGGAAGGCCTTAGCAAATGCATTCATTAATCCTTTGCTCCGGTTCTTTGTAGAAGGCATCAGGAATCAGCCCCAGGGTTTATGGGAAGCTTTAGAATCTGAGGCTCAGATGCAAGTTAAGTAGAGCTGGTCAAAAATTCTGAGGAGAAACATTTTTTCAGTGGAAAATGGCTATTTGAATGAAAGGAGAATTTTCTTGGAAAATTTGTCACTGGAAAATAAGGGTAAAACAAAAATTGAAAAAAAAAATCAGTTTTCTGTTTTGTTTTTTTTGTTGAAAAACTGATTTATTATTTTTCAGAAAATAAAAAATGTTCTTTTAAGCATGTCCCATATTTTTATTTTGTTTTACCTTTTTCGACCAGCTCTTGTTACGCAAATCCACTAAGCAGTGTACCAGAATGAAGGAATGAGAGCAGGATTACACCCTCTCCCCCTGCTTATTTCTCAGCAGTTCCTTATGCCCCTTTTGGGTGTGGGTGGATCTGGCCTACAGGTTAAAAACTGCTGTTACAGCAGAACTCATCTAACTGGAACTTGATGCTTCTGCTAGAAGGATTCAGCCTGGAAAGTTTTCACTGAGGTATCCCTCTCTGAACAAGAAAAAGGTTGTAATACTAGAGTTCCAGTACATCATATATTCATCACTAGTGCTTAGCTGAGGTCAGAATAATGCACAGAATGAAAACCTCTCTTGTATTCTACTTTGAGGAGAAAAAGATGAAAACAGAGTTAATCATAACAGGCTTTTCTGTAATAGAGATTTTCTATTCATTTCTATAGCTGGCAAAGAAGCACAATATGGTTGTGGTGTCTCCAATTCTGGAGAGAGATGATGTACATGGAGGAACTTTGTGGAACACTGCAGTGGTGATTTCAAACTCTGGATCTGTCCTTGGGAAGAGCAGGAAAAATCACATTCCAAGGATTGGAGATTTCAATGAGGTGAGATGTAGCATTGCTTATAATAAACTGTACTCACTTTGTAGCTCTTGCTTGTCTCTGTATGGTAGAGTGTTGGAAAGTGTAGCTGCATAACTGTCCTGTCCATTTTGTCAAGGTAGAATTGTGTGGCTATGATGATGCCACTGAGGGGTTTCTGGTGCACTCATAAATCACAAGTATGGAATATGATGCCACCAGAATCCCCAAGATGCTATTGTAGCTTTGATTTATTTTAAGTTATTTTCTTTGTTTTATAATATTTCCCCAAAATAATCTGCTCTTCTCTATAGGTTATCAACCCAATGGGCTTTTCTATACAAAGCAACTTCACACACGGGGGGAGGGATAGCTCAGTGGTTTGAGCATTGGCCTGCTAAACCCAGGGTTGTGAGTTCAATCCTTGACGGGGGGCCACTTAGGGATCTGGGGCAAAATCAGTACTTGGTCCTGCTAGTGAAGGCAGGGGGCTGGACTCGATGACCTTTCAAGGTTCCTTCCAGTTCTAGGGAGATAGGATATCTCCATTAATTTATTTATTTAAATATTGAGGAGCTTTATAAAAATTGTGTAATTCATAGCTATGGTGTGTCAGTTGTGGGGCACTGATGAAGTCATACTCCTGGTGAATTTCTTGTAAGCTGACGAGCCTTGTATTATATGGTTCAGGGATGAACTGTACCTGTGATCTCTTTGTATCTCTCCATGGGCGCTTCTTTCAGGTGACAGGCCTATACCTGCACTGCAATTCATCCCACTTTTGACTGGACCACGAGTTTACAGCACCTTTATTTACAAACCATATTACCTCCAGCAGAGTCAACTGGATTTGACCCTGATCCAGAATTCTCTCAGGGAGCTGTAAATGCAATGACAGAGAGCAGCTTGTTCAAAACAGAGTATGATTTATTTATCTGTAGGAACATCACAAGCAGAGAGAAAAGGGTTAAAAATGACAAATGCCTAAATGCATGTTGTCTTACCTAAACCTAACCTTTCCTTGCTAGTTTAAATAGATTCTGCTTAACCCAGGCAGCCCCAAAGCATTGGGCTGCATGAAGCAGGCTGCACCGCTGCAACTATTGCCTCTCTCATAGTCAGCCCTTCCCCTACCATCCCGTCAGCATGTTGTGTCCCTCAAGATCCAAGCTGCCTTTTATCCATTTCAAAGTTCCTTTGTTTGAAATTTCCCACCCAGAGATCTCCTGATGTTTCAAGCCAAGCCCCTGGAGCTGATGAAACTGGTGTATGCATTTCTCCAGAGCGGGTTGGAGGTAGCCTTCATACAGTTGATTCATAGTATTGTCTGAGCACCAGGCAACTGACTTATGTCTTCAGTGATTGTTTCAGGTTCCTGCAAGATTTAACCCTTAGCTGCCTTTTAGCCAGCACTACAGTAATCACGAAATACTCCCCCTTACACACACACACACACACACACACACACACACACACACACAAATTAATACACATACCTTCCATGTTCTTCACACCTTACTTAACAGTTAAATCCATACATAATAAATACCATGTTCATACTGTATGGGCCTAGAACACTCTGTCTCAGAGGTTCCCAAACTGTGGTCTGTGCAGCACTTGCTGGTTGCATGTTTCTCTTCGTTTCCAGCTGTGAAATTTCAATGAAAGGCAGTTAAACTAATATATATATATATATATATATATAAAGTACTTTCACTTTTCTATTCATGCAATTGCTGCAGTTGCCACAGGGATGTTATGTGATCACCAATGGGAGGTGGTCCATGTGATCATGGAGAAGCATCAAAACAATCGATTAACATATTTAAACAATTTGACAATTCCTACTCTATCAGCTTCACTGTAAAGGGTAAGAACACCCCACCTTGTTAAAAAGTGTTGATCCTGCTTGGAAGGGGTTAAGGATATTCTGCTGGTGACTTGTTACTCTGCCTGGATATAACAGAGGTGGTTCTGGCTCTCTGAAAAGAGAGAGACAGACAGACCTGGGGTGAGGGCTGAGCAGCTCAGACTAGGAAGAAGGATTATTCCCATCTTTATTAACAGAGAAAACAACAATAAAGTAACAAAACCCAAACCTGAGGAGGGCAGTGAGTTGGACTTCTCAGACTGGGTGGACTGTCTCTGTGGAGCAGGTTGGGAAATCTGCCAGCTTGCAATCATCCATGGCAAATCAATGAGAACTAAATGTAAAGGGGAAAAAGATTGGTTTCTAACCTTTTCAGCCCTGTGTGGGAGGGTGTATAAATAAACAAAAATCAATCCTCCTTGAGACATCAGTTAGTTGCTGTGGAGATGATTATGACCTCTGGTGAGGAATAAAGAGCAAGAGCTGATGAATTCCCTCAAGCAATAACAATCTTGTTTTTCTTCTCCAATCATAGTAGAAAAAACAGAGGACTGAGAAATAAAAATAAATTAAAAACTTACAGAATAGGCAGATCTGTTTTGAAATAGAATTATTTATTAGAACATAACTGCCATGCTGGTCCATCTAGCCCAGTATCCTGTCTCTGACAGTGGCTAGTACTAGAGCTTCAAGGGGAATTTGGGAATGATTCACCTTGTCTTCCACTCCTGGCTTCTGGCAGTCAAAGGTTTAGGGTTGCCTGGAGCATGAGGTTGCATCCCTGCCCATCTTGGCTAATAGCCATTGATGGACCTATCCTCCAGGAATTTCTCTAAGTCTTTTTTTGAACCCAGTTATCTTTTTTTGTCTTCACAACATCCCCTTGCAATGAGTTCCACAGGTTGACTGTGCATTGTGTGAAGAAGTACTTATGTTTGTTTTAAACCTGCTGCCTATTAATTTTTTGCTCTTACCATTTTGACATGGAGGGTAGGGTGATCAGGTTATAAAGTCTGTAGAGAATGCAGTATTGCTACAGGAACATGTGAAAAAGCCAGGTGGCACAGTACTTATGTCCAGCAGTGAGTAAAGAGAAGTAGAAATGGAACTGGAATTTAATCTCTACAGCTCAAGAGAGCCATTTCTATTGGATCTGTACATACAATGCAGGTATTTAGTGGCTGAGGGGTGTTGTCTTTTCACATACTGTTTGTGCCTCAGAGATCTAGTGAATTTTAAAGGATGGTAGTGGGGGGTGGGTGAACTTGAAGACAATACCTGAAGACACCTGTGTGACGAAGTGGGACTGTTCTTAACGTTTCCTCTGAATACTGTGTGTGTGCCTCAGTTTCCCCCATGCATTTCTTAAGTCTCCAGTGTGCATAAATGGCCGACACTTTCTATCCTGGCAACAAATGGCTGGGGCCCTTCCCCTCTGCAAGGGGATAGCTAAAGGTGAACAAAGAGATCAGGTGACCTCCTGGCCCGGGAAAGAGACAAAGGCCAGAAAGGAGGGGCTGGAGGGGGTTTCAGTCTGGGGCTGGCTGAGTGAGTGCAGACGAGGTTGTCTGGCTTGCTGAGCCCCAGAATGGACCTGGTTGAGGGATCCCATTCTCTGTACCTACAAGCTCTGTTTTAGACCATGTTCCTGTCATCTAATAAACCTCTGTTTTACTGGTTGGCTGAGAGTTACGTCGGACTGCGAAGTTGGGGGTGCGTGCAGGACCCTCTGGCTTCCCCAGGACCCTGCTTGGGTGAACTCGCTGTGGGAAGTGCACGGAGGGGCATATGCTGAATGCTCCAAGGTCAGACCCAGGAGGTGAAGCCGTGTGAGCTTCTTGCCCTGAAGACAGTCTGCTCCGAGGGAGAGGAGGCTCCCCAAAGTCCTGACTGGCTTTGTGGGGAGCAGTTCCAGAGCATCGCCCGGGGACTCCGTGACAACCTGCTTGTGTTTTTTTTCCCCTAGTCTACTTACTATATGGAGGGCAACACAGGGCACCCTGTGTTCCAGACTCAGTTTGGAAGGATTGCTGTGAATATCTGTTTTGGGCGCCATCACCCCCTGAACTGGCTCATGTACAGTCTAAATGGAGCAGAGATTATCTTTAACCCTTCAGCTACTACTGGAGAACTCAGGTAAAGTACAAACAACTTGTGGGCTGTCCATTGCTTGGGATGAGCTGTATTGTGGAGTGAAATACCTGCTCATCCCATGTTTCCTGAAAGAGGAAAACCATACTTGTTTTTCCTAAATGTTTCTTTTGGACAGCAACATTTTAAAAATGTTTTGAATTACACTTAATTTGGGGGGGGGGGGGGAGAGGATATCAGTTTGGAGTGGCTCACAACGGTGAGTGCCTACAACAGGGCAGACTGTCAAAAGCAGGGCAGACACCCCAAACTTATGGTGTGTTCTATAATTAGATTTCACCAACCTAGTAACAAATGTGAACTCCTGGATCACTATATCAGTCTTACCATAGAGTCACAGACAGTCCCCTTAGACTCTCTAGTCTATCTTGCCACCCAGACAAACTGGACTTTCTGATTAAAAGGTCACTGACACCAAAATCACACCAGATTCAGGTTGCTCCCAGTCCCAAGAGAACCATCACTTACCCCAGATCAATTGGTATCCTAGATCTTACACGAAAGGCAACACTAGTAGCCAATTCTAGAGTAAACTAACTAAAGGCTTATTAGCTAAGAAAAGGAAATAAAAGTTATTGAGAGGTTAAAGCAGGTAAAATATATGTAAAGGTGAGATACAGTTTGTAATTCCAAATGGTGGTAGTGATGTAATAAATTTCCAGTTTCCCAAAAGTGTTTTCAAGGTACCGAGATTATCTCTAGGGATCTCCACTTTGCATCTGGTATCCTTCCCTGTAAGAGTCCAAACACTCCAGAGATGAGGGATTTTTCCCTGAATCCATACTTCTAGCTTCTTCTCATAGGAAACAAGCGACAGGGTCACTACCCACGTGGGCTTTTTGGAGATGGAGAGTGAAGAATGCATTTAGAGTCTTTGATCTCCAATCACCACATAAAATGACCGCTTGATTTGAAATTAGCACTTTGCTATTAAAGTTCTTCATTTGCATTCCATAAGGCTTCTTTCTCAGATTGATGGGTTATTTAGTTACAGGGGTATAGACGATGTAAATATTTGCTATTACAATGGGATACAGATAAGTTAAAACAGAGCATGTAACATCCCATTACTTTTTATGACGTTTAAACATCAAATACACTCTCATACGTTTAGCAGTCACTTTGCTCTATACTGCTACACAAGTGAATTGGCCTGGCTTCTGGCTATGCATTTGTAAACATTCAGTGAGGCCTGGGGCTTTGGCATGAGCTGGCACATGGTCTGCCAGTATCACAAGTGCATCTATTAGCTAAGGTCCAGTATTCCAGAATGTGTCAATGTATCATCTTGACACACAGTATAGTACATGTACTTTTTCATTTATCCAAATGACAGTGGAGTCTGAAAGAAATCCAGTTCTGTAGGATTTACACTCCTCTACTAGTAAGCAGTGTTGCCTGACCTGTTGATTATGTATTTATTATATTGATTCTACTCAGAGGATTAGTAGGTTCTCATTCCAAGATCAGGCCCAGTATTATTAAAATTACTATCCAGTTGGGAGCTCCGACATGCATGGTTCCAACACTCACACTTAGGAAAACCTTTTGTATTTGTAATAGTTTTATTAACACAATTAGTAAAGTCACAAACACTCCAACCCAGCAAGGTAGCTAGAGAGAATACAGAATGTGCATCTGAACATCCATATACTCATACTATTCTTTGGAAAAGGATCCAAAATGTTACTCATCACCCTCACTGTCAGATTCACTATCGCCAGTGGCCACCATCCTGGCATCTCACCGGCCTCACATCTCACCAAGGTATGTAGGCTGGGATACAACTTTGATAAAGTTTTACGCTGAAACCACTATGCCAATTGTATATTCAGTAAGGGTTTCATTCTCTTTTCCTTATTTGTATTTCCTCACCCTACTAATGTTGGGGTGCCCTTCTCCTATAGTTACTAATCCTTTTACCTCAAGTTTATTAGCATATACATCAGTTAATTATTGTGGCACTTTGGTGGTCAGCCATCTGCTGATGTTCGTAATTTAAAATATACCAAGCTGGTATAAATTAGCATCTTGTGGTTAGCTTGTCAGCAGTTTAGTCATTCTTGCATATTACACCATTCTATCTTGGGATATCTTGTGATCTAGGGATACTCTGGGTTAGCTGTTTCTGCTAAGGCTTTTTGAGCCTTGTGCGTTGATTAGTTTAACTAAGCTATTCTCTTAGAGGCCTTGAGGTTTGTGGGCTCATTGCAATACTATCTTAACTTAGACCTGTGCCTTATCTATTGGCTACAGATGGTGTGATACTGTTTTATGCTCTGTGGTATAAATGCAGGTATTAAAATGTGCATTTTTTTTTTTTAGGAATTTATACCATATTATCTTTTTTCTGTTCCCTTAATGTTGCCCTCTTTATAAAGATGCTCCTCTGAGTGGGAAATTCACTAAGCTTTATACCAGGAATCAAGTTATCAAGGAGGAAGTTATATGAATTAGTTATTTTGACATAATGGTCACAAATAGAGTTAGTGGATTCCTTGAGTCATCTTCCCTGCCCTACGTCAGGTTCTTAATTAGCTCTGTTTTAATGCTAAGAGTCAAATGGGTTAAGTTAAGTAAAAGCCGAGTTCAAACATATATATTTCTGGGGCAGGAAGTGTCTCTCACTCTTTGTTTATAGAGTGTCTAGCATAGTGGGGCCCCAATTTCAGTTGGTATTTAGGTGCTAATGTAGTACCAATAAGAAATAATAATAATGTTACCCTTTTTGACCTAAGCACTTGTTTCCGTTAGGAGAAATTGATGATGGAGTCAGGTGCAATCCTGTTTATTTACAAAGAACGTACATAAAATCCTGTTTTCCTGAATGCACTAGGAATCAAACAGCAGGAGGCAGCTATTTACTCACAGTTCGAAGCCTCTTTCCAGCCAGCACTCTACCCAAATGTGCTCTTTCTCAGTGTCACACTACAAGTGCTTCTCTGGCTGGCTGGTAGGCTTCCTGGCTACCTTTCCTTTGTGTTTGTACTGCCTCTCTGCCCCCTTCCCACACCCTGCAATCAAATCAGTATCCCATCCCTGTATTTGTGTTCAGACCCCCACGAAACCCCTTGGTCCAGTGGTCTAATCCTTGGGCAGTGGTTTCCATTGCTTCAGCCATCACTAAACAAAGGGGCATTTAGTTTTCCCCTCACTTAGCCTGAATGGAAGGCAACTAGTATAACATGCCTAACAATTTCATCAAGGTGGGGTGATTGCCCAACCCCCAGCATAACAATAATATTAATATATTCAGTAATGCTAAGCCTGTTTAAGAAGCTCACTCCTTCCCTAGGTGAGGAGCTGTTTGATAGAACATTTTGTAGGCAGCATTAGAGGACTCTAATAACTTAAGCCCCAGTAATGCAAGGAATTCTATAGGGGTGCAGAGCTCCTGGCAGAACTGAGACCATAGTGCTTCCTATTTGAGGTAATAACCACTTCCTGGGCTGAATAAACTGTCGTTGAGTCTGTCAGCCCCAGAATATGGCTGTTATCGAGGTAACAGGAAGCCCTGTTGAGTTGTTTTTAAGCTACTGAAATTTTAAATGTAATATTCAAATTGAAAGTGAAGGAAGAAAATCTTACAGAAGGAATCAACCTCTCCAAACTAACTGAACCCCCTTTAGGCCCCTGCTTTCCCTTCCTCTGACTCAGCAGGGCTTGTCTGTCCAGAATAATTGCAATATATCTTTGCTTTCATTGTCTTTAAAAACAAAGAGAGGGGACAGGCCTCTCCCAGTGTAAACTGTGTAAACATAAATGTCTGAGTTATTCTGGGAACAAGAGCCCTGCTGAACGGAACAGGAGAGAACAGAAAAGTTTTAAATCATGGAGAAGGGATTCATTTTTTTAAAAGTTTTGACAGCCCCATTTTCTGTGCTCTCCGCTGGCTCCCCTTCTCTTTCATGTACATTTGGAACTTTTCTGCATCAGCCGAAGGGATTGAAGCAGCGAGGCCAATCTTTGTTGCTGGCAAACAGCTTGAACATTCTGAATACGTGAGCCACTCGGAGTAGGGAGATTGCAGTAGCCAGAGAAGTGTGATTATGGATAAATAAGTGCATAGTGAATACATAAATCACGCACTCACAACCAAGCCCAGTACAGGGAATTGTATATTTGGAGTGGTGTGGAAGGGAACGATAATTTTGAATCAGTAAGTGTACAGCATCTTGTCACTCAGACTTCCTAAGGCAATTCTGTTTCCCGATAAGAGCTGATAGCTGCTGATTTAGGTTGTTTAATATTGGAAAATGTCCTTCGAAAAGAGTTTAGTAAATACAGAGTCACTTGTAGTGGGCTTTACAAATATCACCATTAAAATAATGTTTGTGATGTTGGTCCATTTACAGCCCATTAGGAGGAGAGCAATCAGAAATTACACTGCCTTCCTGAGGCACTTCATTGCTTTTCTGGGTGCTCCAGGCTCTCCTGATTATTAGCTTTCTTTTCTTGGTTGCTTTTTGAGGGTATAATTTTTATTGCAGGAAGAGGACTCCTGAGTCCCATGCAGAAAAGTGTCCTAGGAAAATGGAAGAAAGCTGTTCTGTAGTAACCTCTTGGCTATAGTCTCTTTTCCCTCAGTATTTCTCCTTCCTTCTGTGAAATTGTAATTTGCAGGAGCCTTTCAACAAAGTCCCTTTTTCTTAGAAGTGCTGGCAGGTTGGCTCAGCAGTTGGGGTGGGGGGGAAGGGGGAGAAGGGGGGGAATAATAAACCAAGTCCTTTCAATCAAGCCAATGAGCATCTTGTAGGTGCCTGAGTCTTCTTGAGATTTACATATAACAGTCATCCACCCACACTCTCCCCTTGGAGCTCAATATTGGGTAGCTACATGCTGTTATGAGCGTGATTTTGAAGAGGAGTGTACACCCAGTCACTCTTGTTTTTCAGTGCTGTAGGTACTGTCAAACCATATCTTCTTGAATGATCTGATCCCTGTGTCTCACTATGCTTAATGAAAGGAAGGCTTCCTGCATTTTCAGTGAGACAAGGGGAGTGAAGTAATATCTTTTATGGGCTCAACTGCTGTTGATGAGAGAGAGAGAGAAGTTTTCGAGCCACACAGCGCTCTTCTTCAAAAGTTAATCTAATAAAAGATATTACCTCACACACCTTGTCTCTCTAATATCCTGGGACTGACACGGCTAAAACTACACTGAGTTTTCAGTGTCTCCAAAATCAAATCCCAGTTTCGAAAAGGACTGAGGGGTTAAGGTGGAGGAGGAGGAATTCTTTCCCATTTCTCAGTTCTTGGTTTTCTATACAGTGTGGAGACTGGTTTAATGGATAATGATTGAAATGTTACAGGGCTGCTTTTGTCAAACTTTTTCTTTTGTTCTGTCAGCCCAGCATAGGGGAATGACTTGTTGAAAATTTCTATGAAACCTGCAAGTAGAACAAGGGGAGCAGAAGGGGTGGAATTTTTTTTTTCTAGCTTTCAGATAATCTAGTTTCCCATTGCCTGCCTCAGAAACTGCTCCTGGAGAAAGGGGGAGGGGGGCAATTAGAGCGAGAAACTTTCTACACTGCTGCAAAATATTATTTGGATTCCTGAAAATTAACATATAAGTCTTCCAGACTGTTTTGAAAAAAATTTCTCCCAGTAACTTTAATGGAAGGTGCATATCTAAATTCCCTGGACTGCTTGAAAATCTCAAGCCAGGCATTTAAAACTCTCATCATGGTGGTCACCATTAAAAGTCAGCATTTGCCATGTTACCAGATAAAATAGCCTCTCCCTATATGTGGAATGGAAATAATGTTGGTAACTATGCTGAATCTGGTGGAAAATGCTGACTATTAATGGTGACCACTCTTTGTGATCCAAGATCATTCACAGGAGTTGGCTGTAGTTAGCTTTGGTTTCCCTGATCGAGAGGCTCAAGATTACAGGTGTCCATAGCCCATGAAATATCCAAATTTATCTATGAGCCATGCAAATAAACAATAACCACCACCTTTTTGTTACTATTTTGCAGCGAGTCACTGTGGCCAATTGAAGCAAGAAATGCAGCTATTGCTAACCACTGTTTTACATGTGCCATAAACCGAGTTGGAACGGTAAGTATTTGAATACTTTGCTTTGTAGCCTTAGTTTCAGAATCTATACATTTGAGCACATTTTAATCCTAGCTAATGAATTGTATAGTGCTAACGGGGTTACATGGTAGCACTAGGACACCTGGAAAACTCCTGTATTCCTCTGTATAGCATGAGACCTCCTCTCTCATGAACGTTTGCAATGTGCTTTGAAGATTGAAAGTATGATACCTAATAAGCAGGGAGAGTGTGAGCCACCTGCCCTGCTGCTGGCAGCCTGCATTCTGCTGCGGCTCCTTCCTATTCTTGACTTGTTCTTTCTCTGTGGTGAAGGATTTAACTAAGGGCTTGTTTACCCTTACCGGGGGATCAACGAGTGGCAATCGATGCATCGGCGGTTGATTTAGCGGGTCTAGTGAAGATCCACTAAATCAACCGTAGATTGCTCTCCCGTCGACTCCTGTGCTCCACCGGATCGAGAAGAGTAAGGGGAGTCGATGAGAGAGCGTCTCCCGTCGACATCGCATAGCATGGTAAGTAGATCTAAGCTATGTCAATTTGAGTTACACTATTCACATAACTCAAATTGTGTAGGTTAGATCGACTTTTCCCTTTAGTGTAGACAGGGCCTAAGATGAATGCTTCTCCTCTTCTTGCTAATTCTCCTAGCTCCTATGCAGAACCCAGTGTCTCCTTCACTAGGATTATTGAAAATGAAATGTGTCCTTGCACTTCTGTAACAGAGCTAGTTCCTACTAGTCAGACACCTTCTCTCCTTAACAGCTGAGATCATGGAACCAATTTTACTTTCACGTGCAGTAGGTGAGGCCTGTCTTCAGACCTAGTGACACAAGGTGAATGAGGTGTAATATGTTGTATTGAACCAATTTCTGTTGGTGATGGTGACAAGCTTTCGAGCTGTGCCGAGCTCTTCTTCAGATCTGGGAAAGGTACTCAGAGTGGTGCAGCTAAATACAAGGTGGAACAGATTGTTTAGCATAAGTAGTTAGCACATATTTTAAGGGACCATTTAAGGGAAGTTGTGGTGGAAACCTGTAGGGAAGTTTAGATCATTTGTCCAGAGGATGAAAATAATACCGATATCAACCTCTTTATGGGCCACCTTGAGGAAGAATTTCTGGATAAATGCACCATGAAACCAATATACCTAAGATACATCGATATTCTATTCATCCTCTGGACAGATGACCTAACTTCCTTCTGGATTTCCACCACTACTTCAACTGCCACCACTCATCCATCAAACTCTCTCTAGAACACTCTCACAGCAGCAACAACTTCCTGGCCATGATTAGCTTCAACAGTGGAACCTTACAGACAACTGTATACAAGAAACCCCATGGATGACCGCACTTATCTTCACAGATCTAGTAACCACCCCAAGAAATCTGTTATCTACAGCCAGGCCCTCAGCTACCACAGAATATGCTTCAAGGACAAAGTCTGGGATACACACCTTAACACGTGTAAAACCACCTTTACCAAACAAGGATACTCCACCAGAGAAGTAGATCGCATCATGGAATGAGCCACCCCAAAATCCCAAGAGACCCTACTTCACTACAGGGGGGGGAAACCCTCCGACCACACACCCCAAGTTGTCACCTACCATGCTCTACTGAAACCAGTATGGGGTATCTTTAAACAGTTACAACCCATACTCGATGGGGAGCACCTCCTGAAGAAGTCTATCCAACCCTCCTCTTCTGGCCTTCAAACAACCCATTAATGTCTCCAGGCTCGTTGTCAGAAGCAAGCTCCCCACAGACCAGTACCCACCAACTCAAAGCGGCACGAGACCCTGCCATAAAAACAGATGCGAAATCTGCCGACGTATCGCTACCGCTACAATGGTCAATATCTGCCACAACACACGTTTCAAGATGTATGGGTCCTACATATGCCTATCACAACATGTAATGTACCTCTTCCAGTGCACTAAATGCCCCAGTAACAACTATGTGGCTGAAGCCAGACAGTCATTATGCTCTTGAATGAACTCACAGAAAAATGATAAAAGACAAAAATACCATATCGTCCATGGGCAAATACTTTTCACAAAACAATCACTCCACTCCATATCTGACCTATCAGTCCTCATCCTCAGAGGAAACTAGCACAATTCCTTCAAAAGATGAGCCTATGAGTTTAAATTCATAATTTTGCTGGACACTATAAATCATGGTTTTAATAAAGACAGTGGATTTATAGTTTATTACAATAATCTGCAATCCATTAACCCCCTTTTTGTCCTATGACTGGAGGAGTGTTAATGGACCACTTCAGTGAATAGTTCCTTAAAACGTGTTAGTTACTAAACAATCTTGTATTTAGCTGTGACACTCTGAGTACCTTTCCCAGACCTGAAGAAACGCTCTGTGTAGCTCAAAAGCTTGTCTCTTTCACCAACAGAAGTTGGTCCAATGAAAGATTATACCTCACCAAAGTTGTCTCTCTGATATCCTGGGACCAACATGACTACATCAACACTGCAACATTCAGAGCTAATGCACATGCAAATTCTTTGTTGGGCACCTTAGTGTGTGTATTTTTGTAAGGTGCTCTACATGAATCTGGCTTTGTGTCCACCTGGTTAGACCATACGTTCTTCCTTTCTATTATTTGCAAAGACTACCTCATATAAATCTCTCTTCTCCCACCCCCATACCAGAGCTGTCCTCTCCTTGGATTGTTAACTTGTTGTGGTGGAGGGGCTTGTGTGTCCCAATGACCCTCAGAACTATGTCATCCAGAGTCTTGTACTCCTGGTAGGATCACTTTTGGCAAACAGTTCTGAGGTGAAGTTCCAGATGAAGCACGGTCCAGACTTCACCTCGAACTGGGGGAGGGATAGCTCAGTGGTTTGAGCATTGGCCTGCTAAACCCAGGGTTGTGAGTTCAATCCTTGAGGGGGCCACTTAAGGATCTGGGGCAAAATCAGTACTTGGTCCTGCTAGTGAAGGCAGGGGGCTGGACTCAATGACCTTTCAAGGTCCCTTCCAGTTCTAGGAGATAGGATATCTCCATTAATTAATTAATTTAATTAATTCTCAAAACCCCAATGGTGGAACAGGTGTATTTGAGGACTTGTTAGTTCTCTGCGGCTGTGAAGGCGGATGAGGGCTGCAGCAGGACAGAGACCTCCAGTTGTCTCAGACTCCCCTGCCACCGGGTCCAGGGCTCCTTCCTGTCAAATTTCATGAGGTTGCTGCCTGCGCACCAGCTCCCCCACATTAAAAGATTTCACGCATAGGCCTCTGCCATGACCAGAGTTGTGACACTCTAGTATTACTGCTCATATTCCCCAAAGTGCTGTGAATACAATGCTGTCAGCCAAGCAAATGCCTGTCTTCCAGGCTAGTCCATCCTAAAATTCTAGCAAGACAGTCACTACCTTGAATCTAGAAACTAGGTGACACTGAAGATTCCCTTCTACAGGAAATGTTTGACGGTAAGCCAGACAAGTCTTAACAGATGTATGCCAAGCATTAATTAATATGTTAGTATATTAAACATTGTATTGCAGCAAGATCCTCTTGCATGAAATGAGATTATAGTGCCATCTACAGCCTCATTTCAAACGGCCTTTGTTTCACAGGAATACTACGTGAATGCATTTACATCTGGAGATGGTGGGAAAGGTACGTTCAGCAAATACCTTCATGTGTTGCTAATTGTTGATTTTGAAGCATGAAGAGTTATCTTTCCGGCTATCTGCCAGTAGTTTCCATATCTAAGAGCAGCCTTACTTCCCAGAAATGCCACTGTCCTAGAAACTACAGGCAACTAGTAGGAAAGATATCCAAAGTACAGTGGCATATGGTCATTGGAGGTGCTTATATAGGGCTGTTATATCCTTCCTAGGGACTCCAGTCTGTCTGATCCCTGGAAGCTTTCAAGGCAAAGCCCCATAAATTTGCCCTATGTTGTCAGTGAGGTTTATGATGATGCATTAACCTTCATGTTCTGACTTTAAATCCATGCCAGAAATTCTCTTACCAAGTACTGTTGATACATACACAAGTTAATGTGAAAAATGATTAGCTTCATATAGTCCATATCCAGACACACAGATGATCTATTGAGTCTCATATGTTTTTGTGAATGGTTTACATAAAGTTATAGGTTCTGACATGCCGAGCCACATGATGCTGAAGATGGGGTGCAGAGCTAAGACATACAGGAGACTCTCTTACTGGACTTCTCCATTTTACTGCTTTATAAAACGTTGCCTCTTTACAACAATTGTCTGAGTCTGATGTGGTTATAGCAGACTCACAGAACCTTCCTTTAGGCTGTCGATTACTCCTGTTGTAATGCCTATTTTATAAATAGACAAATGTGCAATTCCCAACAGATATGTCTTCACTGCAGAGTTAAGATGAGTGATCAGCACCTGGATTAATCTAGCCCCAGCAGGGGGAGTGCAATACCTGTGTGACTGTGTCCTCACTGATACTGCATTCACTATGTTGCTATGACTTTTGAGGGTATATCCCATCGTTCTTTGGGCTGCAGTAAGCTGAGACACCCTATGATTCTTTCCCAGTGAATCATGGTAGAACTTGTCTGTCTTGGGCACATGGGAGAAATTGTGGGAAGCCATTGGAGGTGTCAGTGCATGAGTGATTTAGCCTGCATCTTTACTGCAAAGTGGACGAGTTGTCAGCCCAAGTGGAAGCAGCACAGGAGTTCTCACCTATACAGCCAGCCAGCCTGAGTGTAAAGCACCACCAGACCCAGGAGAGAGGATTTTGTGTGAATGGAAGTGGGGTGAGGGGCAACACCTGACTAAGAGCCCAAATTAATTGCAGTGAAGACATACCTTAGAGGGGTTTCACAGGAGCAAACCAAAATATACTTGGCCAGTTTTATTCCGTTCTTTAATTTATATCATTATAAATGGTGAGAACATGACGAGCAAAAGTAAACACCAATTATAATTCAGAAAGAAGAGAAGAAAGAAAAGAATAACCTAATGCATTGTTGTGTTCACTACAGGCTTGAACAAAAGGATAAGTTATAAAAATCAAATAAACTTGTACTCTGTCAGATTCCCTGATTATCTATTCAGAAATCCAAAAGAAGTCTGAGATTCTGAACTGCTTTCTCTTGGGGTAGATGTAACCCACCAATATTCACTTGTAGCCTCAGCATTTGTCCTATGGGAACCACCATCTTCTCTGTTTATTTTCTGGCCTCAGTCTGAGTCTCAGCCAACTCATTTGCTACAGATCCTTGTATTGGCCTGACATTGGAGCTCAGTATTAGCAGCTGCTGCATGAAGGTGGCTAGTGATTGCTATCACTCACTTTGATTGCCCACACTGAGCAGTGCAGAACTTTTGAGGTGTCTGATGCTCTTGATCTTGTGGCCAATCATTTGATCCTGTTGAAGATATTTGCATTTTTAATAAGATTTTTCTTCCTCCTATCTCAATGTTTTATATTTTGGTCCTGTACTGAAGAGCTAATTCTGTGAACTCTGTCAGTTGCTTTGAAACACATTGCGATGTCACAGTTGGCATTTACTTGATTGTAGGCTAGATGGGAGAAACAAAGCCCTTATTTAAATGCAAATAGTTTTAATAATTAGCAAGCACAGTAATCCATTATGAAAAGCCTATGAAAGTTGCGTGGATTCCTGTTTGTCTATGTGAAAGCTGTCCTCTGTGGGAAAGGTAACTAATGGTTAGAGCTACAGTTTTCCTGTGGCTTCACTGTGGTGGCTTGTTGAGTTAAATGAGGGCACAGCTGGGTGAAAAAATAGAGGAAGTTATCCTGAGTTTCTCAGGGGAAACAACATGTGAGGTTGCATACTTATTTGCCCATGGCATTCTACGTTGATTATTATCATTATTACTATTTATTATATTTTTTATTTATTAAGCCCACCATGACTTGGGATATTTTTATGGCTCGAGTTATGTGGCTGCACCAGATGGCAGTCGGACACCTGGACTGTCTCGCACACAGGATGGGCTTTTGGTGACTGAGGTGGATCTAAACCTTTGCAGACAAGCCAGTGACAAATGGAGTTTTAAGGTAAGTCCTTATTCTCTAAAACAGGGGTAGGCAACCTATGACACGTTTGCCAAAGGCGGCACGCGAGCTGATTTTCAGTGGCACTCACACTGCCCGGGTCCTGGCCACCAGTCCGAGGGGCTCTGCATTTTATTTTAATTTTTAAATGAAGCTTCTTAAACATTTAAAAAACCTTATTTACTTTACATACAATAATAGTTTGGTTATATATTATAGACTTATAGAAAGAGACCTTCTAAAAATGTTAAAATGTATTACTGGCATGCGAAAACTTAAATTAGAGTGAATAAATGAAGACTTGGCACACCACTTCTGAAAGGTTGCTGACCCAAAGGTTGTAAAGAAACCTGGCCAGTTCTCTAAGAATAGTTTGCTAACTTTTATATGACATTGAATGGGCCTTACACATTAGTTTTTGTGGAATTTAAGCTGTTGCTAAAAAATGAAACCTTCTGGTCCTTATGATTCTGAAGATCACACTCAGAAGGTTAAGTGGTGGATTGCTCACTTCCTGAGCCTGCAGACAGCCTGAAGCCAGACATGAAAACTGCCCCCATTCACCTCTGAAGCCTCTTGCTCTATTTCACTTTGGAAGTGAATTAAGCTAAATGGAATTTAGGCCACTTTAATTCTGAATGAGAGCATCCACACGGGTTTACTGTGGTTTAACTAATCTAACACATCTTTAGTTAACTTAGATGAACTTTCCTGAGGGTAGGTCTATACTGCAATTAAAAACTCGCAGCTGGCCCATGCCAGCTGACTTGGGCTCATGGGCAAACAGGCTAAGGCTCTGTTTAATTGCGGTGTAGATGTTCAGTCTCAGGCTGCAGCCCAAGCTCTGGGACCCTCCCACCTCACAGAGTCCTAGAGCCCGGGCTCTAGCCTGAGCCTGAATGTCTACACAGCAATTTTTTCAGCCCTGGAGCTTGAGCCCCGTGAGTCCGAGTCAGCTGACCAGGGCCAGCCACATGTTTTTTCGCTGTGTAGACATACCCAGAGAGTCCACATGTAGTCAAGCACTTAGTTTTAGTCCTCAGAAGTTCTATAGGTCTGGAATTTCGATCACCCTTTCCTCCTGAACCCAATATGCACCTTGACTCCTGGCAACAAGTAGGATAAACCCTCTAGCTAATGACCTTTACAGTCTGTCATCCTCCTCCTGCTTGAGTTCTTCAGTGATACTGTATTCCAGTGTCTAAACCAGAGGTAGGCAACCTATGGCATGTGTGCCGAAGGCGGCACGTGAGCTGATTTTCAGTGGCACGCTCACTGCCCAGGTCCTGGCCACCGGTCCGGGGAGCTCTGCATTTTAATTTAATTTTAAATGAAGCTTCTTAAACATTTTTAAAACCTTACTTACTTTACATACAACAATAGTTTAGTTATATATTATAGACTTATAGAAAGAGACTTTCTAAAAATGTTAAAATGTATTACTGGCACGTGAAACTTTAAATTAGAGTGAATAAATGAAGACTTGGCACACCACTTCTGAAAGGTTGCCGACCCCTGAAACTCAGACATGGTAACAAAGAATTTTAGGTCTTTATCTGTACAAAAATACATCCAGCTTCCTTGTGGTTTGCTCTTGCATATGCCTGTGCCATATGGTCTTATATATTCTGTGACATACTGGACCTAGCGTCTGTGGAAAGGACTCTTGGTGGCTGTGGTATACTGGTACTGAATTTTACATCCTCAGTAAAATGAGGGGTCATTTCAGCAGAACGAAGGTCTTGGTCATCAGAGAATACACAAGGGCCCCTCAACTGTAACAGCACATTTTAGATGCATTCAAATGTGGACATTATTATTGCAGTATGAAAATGAGTAGTACAATATCCCTTGTGCTGTTTTTATATTTGGTTGTTTATTTTATCTGCCCCCACGTCTTCTGTTTCCAGTGTGCTGCAGTTTTGTATTGACAGTGCAAACCGGCATTGCTGGAAGTTTTGGAAGCTGAGTAGAGGACAACTGGGGCTTTTGACAACCAGAAAGGAGTAGGAAGCAGTTTACATTTTTGTCATTTGATGGAAATACAATATCCCCTTTCTACTTATGAACAGCCAGAGGTGGCTTGACATTTGGGGGTGATGGGCTGACCTTCTTGCTCCCCACCCAGACAACCCTTGACAGCAACCACATATCCCCATAACTTGCTCCAGGATCTGCCACTGCATCCAGAAGCAATGGATAAGGACATTAACTGTATGTTTCTTCTAAAATTATCAGCAGTGAAATAATTAACCATTGTCCTCATTACATTTCAGAATTCACTCTATTGCTGTGAGAGGAGCAAGTTCACTCCCCTCAAAGCTAATGTTTCAGGCTGCTTGCACACTCAGGAAGACAGCAGTATCAAGTCACATTTAGAAAGCTTTCTTCACAAGTACAATGGCTATAAACTTAGTGTGAAAAGTGACTGTAAAAAGAGCAGCATGGAATTCATGTTTTATATGGCTATTACACACACACACACACACACACACACACACACACACACACACACACCTACCCGTTCTTACTAACTA